TGCAATATTGGTACTTAAAATACATTTTCGAATTCCTAATGGCGCTATGTCGAACACTTTGTCTTGTTCTTCTGTTGATAGTGTGCTGAATATACTCAGATAGTTTAGTATATTGAGTGAAATCTTTGACTTCGTGTAATTTTGTAGGTTTTATAAAATTGCCGTTGTTTCATAAACAGATAAAATTCGTGCTTGAAATGAATTTATGCTTGAAATGCTACAAATGGCAAAGAAACCACTCGATAATCTCACCTGTGGAGCGTTAAAATAATCCATTTCTTTGATGTTTCTGCGTAAACTTTTAGGGCTTCTGCAACCGTTGATATTTCCGAGACACCGTTCAGAAATATTAAAACATCACCCCTTTCGTTACTGTCAACTTTTGCATCAATCATTTGAAGGATCTAAATGTATCAAGGATTATTAATAAAACTATGCAATATTTTATGAAAAAAAAATTAATTTAAACCTGTAAAAAACGTCGTTCTTTATTTGCGTTAAAAGGCTAGAAACTATAGGAAAAAGTGGCTTAAATATTTGTTGGATCGAAGAACATCATGTCTAGATAGTAAAACAAACATCTTCCAAGAAATGTTGTATGCCTAAATTCACTAATTAATTATATCTTCTTTTCTCAAGATTGCAATATACAAAAAGAAGTTTTGCCCTTTACATGCGAATAAATGATTCACATTGAGATACGGTGCGGGGTCAATTTTCGCTTTCTTTTTTTCTGACTCATATTGGTTGTGCTCCTTGATTGGCATGTATCGTAGCTCGATAGGATAAAGACGTCCAGCAACCTATAATAACAGTTTTTAGGGCACAGAAGTTTCGATTGAAGAATAAAAATATCTAAAGATAGAAGAAGATATTCCCAACGAATAATCATGGATGGATTTGCCCACCATAATAAGTATCAGATAATGCAAACTGTAAACTGAATAGCAAAAATCTTAATTTGATTTAACGAAACAACTGTTCACTGAAAATCCCTGTAGGATAACATTTATAGAAAAAAATTTTTAAAAACTTAAGTTTTTCAAAAAGACACCTTGATAACAGGACTATCTCCAAAATAGCTCTGAAACAATTCTAGATTGATGGTAGCACTCATTAAAATCAGTTTCAAATCATCTCGCCTTCGTACCAAGTTGCGAAGTAGTCCTAACAAGAAATCGCCGGATAAATTACGCTCATGGATTTCATCCAGTATAATGACCTGAAATGTGACCTAATGAAAATGGTAAACTTCTCTAAGGAAATAATGAAATTCCTATCCACATATAATATTTAGGAGTAACAATCAATGAACGATCAATGCTAATTACTAATACTAAACAGATATACTGCTAAAAACTATTCGCAGAGTATTTTAGATGAATAGAAGTCTATTTAGTGGATCATTTAAAAGCATTCATTTGAACCAAAACAAACGATTCCATACATTATACTGATTAAGTTCCGGATCGGACTGCAATTGTCTTAGAAGTAGTCCTTCAGTGACAAATAACAGCCGAGTTCTTGTTGTACGTGTTTTCTCGAACCTTATTTGATAAGCGATTTTACTCCCATATTCATTCAACGTTTCATAGGCAACTCGTCGAGCAAGAGCTATTGCTGCAATGCGTCGTGGCTGCGTACAGACGATACGGTCGTAATCTGCATCCAAAAGATATTGTGGAACCTGAAAACTGTTCAATTTTTCTGCTTTAAAAAATTTGACACTATGTTCAGAAAAAACTTCTGCTTATGTATAAAAAACATACCTGAGTACTTTTGCCGCAACCTGTATCACCAGCAATAAGAAGAACTTTTACCTGAAATAGCTGCTCTGAATTCGTGCAAATGGATCAAGCAACAAAAAGAAGTCGTCTTCAATTTATTAAGACAACTGTCGAAAATCTGAGATTTCAAGTAATTGAATTAAGGAAATGATATACCATTCACTGATTTCAATACCAAAATTAATGTTTCCATCCAATTATCCTATACCTATCAATAAGGTTCCTTTTACTGTCAAAGAATACTATTCCAAAACTAACATTTTTGAGGCTTTCCAAAATCTCGTCGCGTTTTTCATAAATGGGTAAGTTTTTTTGGGAGGCACGCAATCGCCGTAATTGATTGAATTTCATCCGATTCTCATAAGCAATAAACGATGAAAGGGCG